GCCACAGTTTTGAGAATAAGTACTGCTGCTCCAAGATCCCTTAGTTATGTACAGTTAATGCTGTTAATTAGTTGTTAGTTGTGGCTTCACTTTGTTTCCAGCATCTGAGATTTTATTTATATTAAGCCACAAGCAAAGATTACTTTCAGAATAATCTGAATGTGTGTAAAATGTAATTTTGTAATATGTAAAAGCACACAGTCTTGACTAAAAAGCAAAAAACATCAGAACTAGTGTCACGGACAATAGCATTCATTCTTCTAGATAAATTATGGACAAAAGGAAAACATGCAGTGTAATAATCATTTGCAGTCATAGTTTTGCAGTCCATAACAATACAGCTATTTTCCGTTCTATTTTGTATAGTGTCTTGATGTGATATACAGTTATACTGTAGGAAATGTGGGGAAATAAACTATGTATAAAAAACAAAAGGTATTGTTCAAGCATTAAACTCATTCTGTAGCAGAAAGCTTTTAATACCCGGCAAGGGGAACTTTCACTGCAATTCATTAACCGCTTTATTAACTTATCCAGTACAGGGTCATGGGGGAGTCAGAGCCTATCCCAGCAAGCAACAAGCAGAAGAACAGTCCATTGCAGGGTACACACAGACAGAGACAGATGTACACTCGCATCAGGGAAAACATACAAAATTCACCCCAAGTCCAGAACTGAACCCAGGGCCCCAAAGCTGCAAGACAGTAATGCTAATTACTGCACCGTCATGCCTTACTGCACCCTACAAAAAGTTGGGAAACAGCAATATATTATTTCTGATCAGTGAGAAAAGAGCAAGTATATAAGCCTTGTAATGAATGTGTTTTACAAATGGATAGGTGGCCGTGAAGACTAAAAACAATTAACACCCGCTGTCTGCTGTCAGAGACTGCTGCTGCTGCTGAGGTGTGCACTGCTGTTGTGGACAGCGTAGGGTGTCGTCTTCTTATTGGTCAGATGGCGGCCAACTCAAGATGGCTGTAGTGGATACTATGTATAACTTGGACTGGCTGTTCAGCAGCACTGATATGTTTTCGACACTTTCACTGTAATTTTGTCTTTTGACTAATAATCACAGTCTCTTCACCTGTCTCAAGGTGACAGAGCTTCTGATCATATACAGGACACTGTTCCTTTCTAAACATCCATGACTGCCTTTCTAAACAGTGGAATGTAAAAGATTGGTACACAATTCCACAAAATAAAATATAATCTTAGAAAGAGCTCATAGAAGAACGGTATGAATGACAGCTTAAATGGAGCTAAGGTTCTCCAGTCTAGAGCAAAGGATTTTAATAAGAGATCTAATCTGCATGGCCTCCTGTTGTTGTCAACGCGTCTTTTGCTTTTATGTTCTTACCACTCTTGTACCCTTGGAATTTTGCAAAGTCTATATCCAACACAAGTGTCTCTGGTTGCAGGTTTGTTTATAATAATACTTAGAGCTGCAATGTTGTTCCTGTTTGATCACATTGTCACCACTATTCACCCAAGGGATGTGTGTGGGCTGTCTATGCTAATTTCCCAAAATGTCTGCATATATGGTCTCTATTCCTAAACTCTCTATGGTAAGCGACTTCAAAAGATTAGCTTTCTGCAAACCCCAACCATTATATTAAGAGGCTCTGATTACAAGAGTATTGTATTGATCTTTAAGGTGATTTGTTCTAAGTGAAATGCGGCACCAACCAAATCATTTTAGACTGATGAACAACATCAGCTGTGCTATACGTTTGCTCTGAAGGCTGCTAGATCCTTTTTCTTTCCAAGTCTTACTGAGAAAGGTCATGGTAATCCCACATTCCTATTTGTAACCTCATTAAAATTTACAATTTAATATGTCTGGTTTTTACACACCGACTGAACAACGTAATACTTTAAAGCAATTTTTCACAATGAAATACACAATATTAATAATCAATGCTCTCACAGGTTTGGGCTTATCTCATTTTACTGTTTTTGCTTCTACTTATGTAGGTCTCATGTGACTGAGAAGGTATTGTATCTAAACTGAGACCTTCTACCTTGGGCCACTGTTCCTACAGTACATAGCTACTCAAATCTAGATTCTCTCCACTTTATCCATTGGTTACTAACCTCATCCTTAACCTTTAATCCTTCAAGTACAAGACCAGGTTTCAGGCTTCCTGCTATCAGACAGTAACTGTGTCGAAGAAAACTGGTCTGAAGCCAAAATTGCAAAAAATCTCATAGTCTTAAACAGGTGGTTGCAGCACAATTACAATTTTATCTTGTATTTAGTGAGTTGTTTGACCCTCTTCAGCTGCACTTTAGACAATGATACAGTACCGCAAACTGCCCTTGTTAAGATACTGTAGTTCAGGAGTTGCCGATGGATTCTCACTTTGGACCACTATTTTTCTGCTTCTGGAATTAAGTGTAGGTTTTGATGTTATCAATCATTCCATTTCATTGTATGGAAAATGATTTAGGGATTATTTATACTCCCCTTCATGGGTTTGGCTCCAAGAGTCAATTCATAAACCTTTGCTGTTCTAAATCTGTTAATGTCCATGTTATTCTGGATGATCCAAACATTTCCATCTCTGAACTGTTCCTGTTTATTTTACATAGGTTATGTCTTGGCTAGATTATTCATCATCATGAACTAGGGTTTCACTATAATACTCATGATAGTCAAATTTTTTTTCCTCCTAAATTAGATGCTACTACTCCAGTTTCTGTATTTTATACTCGTCTGTCGGATATTAAGTTACGCAACTTTCTTAAGCTAAACTATTGTGTTTAACACACAATACAACTTTCTTAAACTAAACAGTGATTTGGACATTTCTAACAATACATTATGTTTATTGTTATGTTTATAATTTTGTATTTATGTTTATAGGTCATGTTTATTTACCAATCATGGTCTCCTTATAATCCCCATCTATGCATTTGCTTCATCACTCTGTTCTACTCCCCACTGATAGCTGGTGTGTGGTGAGTGTACTGGCACACTATGGCTGCCGTCGCATCATCCAGGTGTGGGCTGCACACTGGTGGTGGTGGAGGGGAGTCCCTATTACCTGTAAAGCTCTTTGAGTGGAGTATCAAGAAAAGTGCTTTATAAGTGTAAGCAATTATTATTTAGGAATAATAATTATTTTATTATTGACTCTGAAGAACAAAAACAACCACAGTTGTACACAATCCTAAAATTAAATCCTTCATTGAACTTTTGTTTTATTTTTGACCCTATGTTGTCATTTGAAGCTCATGTTATAAACATCTCAAGAAAAACTCAGTTTGTATACATTGCCTGGTTAATGTCTTTGCTCTATCTGAAACTGGAATTTTACAAAACCTTATTCCATCAAGATGAGAAAACAGTATTGTGATTCTTACTGGAGTATTAACTAAGATACTAAATAAGTTTTAGTACATCCAGAGCTCATTGGTTTAAGTGCTAAATAAAACTAGTCTGCCTGAGCTACACAGCTGTTCACTTCCTTTGAAATTTAGAATGGATTTCAAGGTTATCCATATTATGCATATGACACTTAGCAGTCTAACTCCAGGTTATTTAAAGTACAGTATATGTTGCCTGAGAATTTTTCAGTTCTTAATCTGAGATCTTCTAATTCAGGTGTCTTTTTTACATAAGACCAGTAAACATAATGTGTGAGAGAGCCTGCACATGTGCATTACCATAATTGTGAAACTTATTGCCCAGATCCATTACAGAGTCTGCAACTGTGAACTGTTTTAAATCTAATTTAAATACCTATTTTTCTATTTTATCTTTTAGGATATAATTTTATTGGATCTATTTACTGTAATGTTGTACTATCTTGCAAGGTTGATACATGTATTATTGTACAGTGCTTTATGTATTGTAACAAAAACATATTAAAAAATATTGTTTAGGTTGTTGACACATTGCATGGAAATGACTTGATTGGTCTGTATTTGTAGGTGCTTGTGTAAAATGATTGTTATACTTGTCAGATTCACCAAGATGCTTTTATTTCCCCCTGAATTAGTAAATGTTTCCCTGTAATGGGATTTTTTCAGGCTACTTTTCTAAAACTACCAAATCTGACTTCAAGGCACAGAGGGAATTAAAGCATTCTTTACCAAAATATCAGAATGACTGTTTTCCACTGTAAGACTTCAATAAATCACTGGAGGCCTTTCAGGAAAATAACTCTCAAGTTTCTAACTTGCAAATCCAGATCTGTAACAAGTTCTTTAAAGGTTGGCAAATCTACTAAGCCAGATCATATTACATACTGTACCCTCCCACCAGGTTACTCAACAATGTATCTCATATGCCTTTGATATCTGTCTTTCCCACAGGTAAGATAAAAGTGAGACATGATTAAATGTGACATCAGCTTTTTTACATTTACAGACATATACTGTAAGGTAATGCGGTTTCTGGGTGTAAGAGATGCATCAATGCATAGACTATTTTATCAGACAAAATCAAAAAGGAAAATACAAAAGGTGATACAGGTGTGTGCCTAATACCTATTATATTGAGCCCACTCTGATACGCTCCCACCAGCTTCTCGTCCCGTCACCGAGCTACTCAGAAGCCTATAAATAAACGGGCTTCGGTAATACAATTAAAGAGTGGAAATTTATAGCAGTGATTGTGGTCCCATCAGAGACCTCGTCATGTGTTTCCCGCCTGATCTGTCAAACTCTGTTAAAAGCTCAAGGCTGCCGCAGAACAAAACCCAAACTTTCTTTAAAGCAGCAACGCACGAAATATTTTTAAAAACAAAGACTTGTAAGAACAAGTACACAAAGTAATTAACCCACGCAGTTGAACAAAAAAGAATACACTGGACATTTTAAAGACGGAACAATAAGCTTGCTACTGTAATCTGCAAATGATGCATATTTTCTACTCATGTTATATCAATCACACATTATGATCTGATACTATTTGCACACGAAAATGCAGTTTGACAAATCAGAACAGCTCGAAATTTCCTAAGTGTAGAGAAGCTACTATCACCGAAGGTCATAATAATGCTTACTCAAAAGCTAAACGAATACGTTCGAAAAAGTGTACAACAGGTTGCCCTTATTTTTAAATTAGTTTTAGAAATGTAATATACTGTATAGCTCTTTGTGGCTTAAGAAGTGGTCTCTACTGAAACATGTTTTCAAATATTTTAAAAAAATGAGTACAGAAATCTCACCGATCAGTGTAAGTTTCAGTAGGGAGGAATTTAACTGTTACGCTAGGGTTTTTGTATACAAAAGTTGAGAGTATTGTGGTGTAAGGATAACAAACGTACTGTCATTCATTTTTACCTAAGGATAATTAGGCGATCTCAGAATTTAATATCGTCACGTGTTTTTCATAATTCATAATAAAAGCATACCGTTTGTGCTTTCTTTACCTGGAAGTTTGTTTTGAGGATGTAATCAAGTATTGTAGTTGGCGTGCTTGGAAGAAACTGGCACTGTAGGCGCTTACTGATAACTAAAAAATAAACTTCCAGTTTTTATTTGAAAACGGCGGTAGACAGAAAATTAGCGCCGCCTAAAAACATCGATATACTCCTGAAATAGTGACTTGTTTTCGGATAAACGTCTTGAATGGATCGCAGGCATAAACAATTTCTTCGAGAGCACAGATTGGAGCTTTCTAATCAGCTCGTATTAATTGACACCACCATAGTTCAATACTTGTATCAAGAAAATATTTTAACAGAAAGCCATGTGGAGGAAATAAGATCCCGGATAACAAACAAACAGAAAACACTCGCATTGCTGGAGATTCTCCCCACCAGAGGACCAAGGGCGTTTGAAACATTTCTGGAGTCTCTGAAGGAAGAGTTTCCGTGGGTGAGAGAGAAATTGCTCCAGGATTTAGAGAATGCGACTAGTGAAGTAAATTCAACAGGTAAGACTAGTGCCATGATTTAAACTCCACATTAACACGTATGTGAAGTCTTCTTAGTTATATGTGTGGTAAACAGACCGACGTACAAGCAAAAGCAAAATACTCGATCAATAGTGGGCGGATGTGTTTCGTTGCAGAGCAGTAGTCCAACGGTGCAACTTTTGTAGCTGTCTTACATCACCACCTTCTTAAATCATTACCCTTTATTTAATCAACGTTGCAAAAAAGATTCCGTTAATCTGTTCAGAGGTCAGTTGAAATGAATACGTTCCAAGGCCATAAAAAAGCATCGCCGATGTATACCAAATATATTTCAAAGCTGTCAAAACCAGTTTTCTTCGATATGATTGTTTCATTTTTGTTTTCATATTTATATTTTGTCTTTAATTTGTTTTATCATTTTAAATGTCCTTTTTTCCCTCTTTGCTTTCGTTCCTGGTACAAAACCACATTCCTTTTAAATGACGGAACTGAACATCCGTCGATTCTCTCGCTGAGATGATCTGCACTTTTGCACATTGTCGTGCGGCAGGTTTTGGCGATGCAACTCGGTTCCTTCTGTAGGGATGTCTTAACAAAATTGCGGATTTAACTGAACTCGGTTGATGCTAACGTATTCTTAGACATTTTAAAAATCCAGAGTTCAAGGTTATGATTACCGCAATTACTACAACAAGATGTATTGCTCATTGTCTTTGTACAATAACCCAATATCTTAATTAAATTAGGACATTTTTTAGTAAACACTGGGGAACTTAAATTCCTTGTGTACTATTTTAAATACCCCTTTTATGCGTATAGTTTACAAAATTGACAGGTTTTTATTTAAGTTAATACATATTTCCTAATTATACAGGACTCGTGACACCGTAGGCAATTAACTTTCTGATCATATTGAATTTATTCAGGAACTTAAAAAGTTTAACAAGGAGTTTTATCTAACGTCTGACTGCTTTTAGTAGAGCTGTGTGTAGATGTATCATTAATATATTTTGTTGTTGAATTGGAACAGTGATCTAGAGTGGTGGTGTCCTTGATAGTTCCTCGACAGGGGAACGCTTTTGTTTGTGTCCTGTCAGTGGTGATTCATGCCATTTCCAGTAAACAAGTTTCGGTGCCAACCATGGAACGGGCTGCTCTTCAGCAGTGGTTTTGTTTGTTTGGCCATAACCTAAATGGCACTGTCCCATTGATCGAAAAGGACTGAGAAAAACGTAAACAGCTGGCTCCCACTACCGCTGGCAACAGCCATTACGTTTTAAGGGAGGAAGTGGAGCTTGGGGTTGTGTGACCGAAAGGATTCAGGGTCTTGCGCGCACAGATTTTTGTATAAATTAGGTCAGAGTTCTGGAAGAAAAAAGTAGGGCAGTCACAATCCTTTGAGTGCTGTCCTTGTTAAACAAAGAACTGCAGTATACATTGACCAGGTGTTGGCAGCATGATCTCGCTTACCCCTGACCCCTGTAACACCCTTTTTATAAAGGGAATACTTCTATAAATAACAAATGGTATTTAAAAAAAAATAACAAGTAAATTAATGGGGGCTCAGAGAACGGCCCCCTAAAAGAAGATTGAATAAGTGGGTGCTTTAGCTTAAATTTGGATCCCTTCATGACATGCATGTCCAAGAAGCAGAGAAATGTACGTATACTTTATTACACTTCCAAAGTAGTGTACTATCTTTAAAAATAACTTTTTTAGTTCGACTATTCTTTTCCGGTTCATGTTTTCGGTCCGTTCTTAGAGACAAAAGATATTCTATCTTAATGATCTCGCATTTTTTGCATGTCAGATTTTGTGATCATACTTAAATGTAGGCGTGTCGTTATCATTGAGTGTATTTAAAACAAAACGCACTATGCCTGGTTGGACACCATGATGCCAAAATTTCTCGTCTGAATGTAGTTCGTGTCACTATTCCCTAAGCAGCAGCATATGATGAGCAGGGCACTGCCAGGTTTAGGGTTGGGTGAATTCTTGAAGTGCTTTCTCGCATTTCCGGCAAACAGGGATTCTTGGGTCTTGCCCCTGACTAAATGTGGAGATGCACCACAGTCCACAGATCACTACTACTCTACTTGATAGAATTAGTGTGACTCTCCTGTCAGGCACTATAGGATTGTACTGTCAACACAGGGGCTGACAGGTGACTCTGCAGGTGGGTGTATCAGGGTCCATGTGGCTCATTCATTCTTTCTCTCGCAGTTGCTGGTCTGAGGGAGAGACAGTGCAGGAGTCACTTCTGCAGAGATTTAGGAACTACTATGATATTCTACTGCAAATTGTTTGTAATTTGTTTTCTTTGTTTACACCCAGGCTGTTTGTTCTGAAGAACTTTTGGTACCATTAGCTTTCTGACTTACCTTTCTGTTAATCGACGTGAGCAGAATGGTGCCTTACCAACACTTAGAATTTCAGAGAATGTTAACAATTTTTTAAAATAAATGTAAAAAAAATAAGTTTATTAGATATAGCCTGTAATGTGAACCCTGATTTTTGTCCCAGTTGCAAAACCAGTAGTTATTTCAAAGGTATGCTTTATTGTGAAAATGTTCTTTCTTTTAACTCAGATTGATTTTTGAAATTACCTGTTTACTGGGTTATGGGAGTCAGAAACAAGTTACCCATACTTGTTTTAAAGCTGATCCTTGGATCAATTAACTACCAACTAGTAACTGCCAAACACGTTAAATAGTCCAAATGGCATTTGTAACCTTTCTTATATTTTTATGGTTTTGATGGCTAATTCTGTATTTTTATTCGATAGAATAGGATCCATATATCACAATATGCTGTTTTGCTTCAAAGAGCACAAAGAGCACAAAGAGCCTACAGCTAAATGGAAATAATATGGAGAATGTTGGAATATACTGAGGTGTAGTCTGCCTGAAATTCACTATTATCGTCCAAGTATACATTTATGATGGGATATATGAAAAAATAAGCTGAGATACTGTAGGTAGGTTAGGTCCCCTTTTCAGGCCATAAAGGCCCATAGGGAACAGTGGACAAGGGCCATCACTTTTCTCAACCATCCGACACTGGAGGTGGAGGTGATGTGGTCACCATCAACACTCCGGCCGGCCTGTTACCCCCAGAAGGATTAACCCCCGGTACTCATTTGGAAAGCAGGCTGAGTGGTCCTGGGTGCTGGCTGGAAGGAATTGGAGAAAACTACATTGCTTGCCCCTACCTGGGATTGAACCCAGGACCTTCTGGTCAGGAGGTAGACGCCCTTGCTGTCTGTGCTACCACGGCTCCAGCTATTTAAACTGAACATGTCTAATTGAAAGACAAGCAGAATGTGCAGCTGCTCAGTTCTTTTAATGTGCATACAGTACTGTGCATTTAGTAAGAAGCTTGTATTACCAGTTTCATATCTGCATCAGTTCACCTTCTGGGTTTACTGCCTTTTTTTCTGAATCCATTAGGCTGTTCAGAGCTGCAGGCCACATTGCCAAAATTAGTTTCAAAGTAGAAATGTTTTCTTCTCTTATACAACAAATATGATGCACATTGTAGGCACTAAGAATACTAATGCATTGTACTTTGAGCCCCTGTCTTATTTAGTACTTTTCATGCATTTGCAGTTGTACGATATTCTGTTTTGCTCTTGGAATGGAAGGCTTCTACAGTATCATAAACCTGATTGTAACAAATTGCTGTCACATTGCACCTTAATTACCAACCACCTCTTTGTGCTCATAAGCCCCTCATATCAGATCACACTGTACCTGTAAGAATGATGGACATTAATGTGCCTAGATATTGTTTGTTTTTTGCTGATTAACAAGTTAAATTTAGACTTTTTAAGGCATAATCTCGGCACAATCCTACTTCCTTGTTCCATGCAAGCTCTTTTTAATTTGGAGCACTGCTATCAAGGTCAGATGCATGAACTGTATCCGCCTTTCTAGGAAAAATACCCAGTAATTAAAGCCAGTTGTCGACTGTTTTCCACCACTAAAGTGCAGAGCTTTTTATTGACTTATTCCATGCAGGCGGATAAATGAAAAAAAAAATTCTGAGAAGTCTGTTTCCAAGTGACTCATTTGTGCTAATAAATTCTGCTTTATCCTCTACAAAACATATTTAAAAATCAGATTTTCTGAATTTCAAAGATTACTATTGTTCAGTACTAAATCTAGCTATTCTTAGATGGTACAAGGGTACCGTCGTCTCATTTTCTAGTTGTTTTCATGTCATTTAAAGTTCCCAGCATACTATTTTTTTAATGACGTTAATGCTAGTACAGTCCGTCTAGTTGCTTCCATCAGTGATCAAGGATACCCTGTTATAAATTTGAACCTGTAAATTTCCAGTTTGGTTAGCACTGCTGCCTTACAGCGCTGGGGCCTTGGGTTAAATTCCTGGGGTGCTTTTATGTGGAGTATCCATGTTCTCTCCATGTCCGCGTGGCTTTTCCTCTCACAGTCCAATGACATACCAGTAGGTTAATTGGCTTCTGGGAAGACTGGCCCTGGTGTAAGTATGTGCGTATGTGTAAGTATGTGTCTGTCTGCCCTGGGATGGACTGGGGTCCCATCCAGAGTGTATCCTTCCTAGTGCTCGTTGCTTGCCAGGATAGGCTTTAGCTCCCTGTGACCCTGTACTGTATATACTGTAGTGGTTAGAAAATGGATGGATTTATACTATTTTGGAGGTGGCAGTCTGGTACGAGGAATTTCTTTAATTGTTTTTTTCTTTTTTGGGAGAATTTGCTGGGAAAAAATCATACCCTATTGATTTAATTTATTCCAGTTATTTGATAATCAAAACCCAGTGTTTTTTTTGGCAGCTGCCTTCCCAGGACCTGTAAATTGGTTCTAATCTACCTCCATATTTTACACTGCAGCTCAAAAGCTCCAGAAGCACCCCATACGACCTGCAGGGAGATCTTTAACCAGAGCAGTTTAGCTGTGCTGTGTTGGATGAGCCTTGTGTCCCGAGATGATCCCTCAGAAACAGGTCTCCTTCCATGAGGATTTTGTACAGTAATC